AATGAATAATTTTTAGGAGGAAAACAAAGATGAAGGAGAATGTCACCTTTGTGGAGCACTGGTTCCGAGGGAACCCATGTTGAATATGAGTTGATTGATTTCTTGCTCCATTTTCGTTGAGAGAGGAAAACAGAATGGTGTTGCTCACAAGATTTGGATCCACTCAGCACTCTTCTTATGTAAGCCAACTTGATAATATTAGGTTTCCTGAAGCATAATTAAGGATTCAGAATGGTTTTTGGGTTCGATAAATCTGGATTCGTTTTAAACCTTATGTTTAATATAGACGCTGTTTCTCATTTCACCTCTTCTACTTTCTCTCTTCATCATCCAACATGCTTCCATTTCAGCCCTACATGTATAATTTAAAAAATTATTAAAAACCAATGATTTATAAATCATGAGTGTTTCAGTGGGCCCAAAGATTCTGTGAGCCCATAAATAGAAAAAACAATTGTTTTTCTAAGAGTTGAGAATAGGGAGATTATTTTTTTCCCGGTCCATTTCCCTTAAAAAAAAAAAATAAGACACACACACACGCAGAGGGCACAGTTGGGAAGAGTAATTCCATTTACATCATTTTCTTTTCCATTCTATCCTCAAAATCTTTCAGGTCTGGTCGGGCAATTTTATATGACAAGACATTTTAGTCCCAGGACAAATATTTTCTTTGTTTGTAGATTGGGAAGACCATAACCAATATATATACACGCACTATAAATTTAAAAAAAAAATTACATTATTTGTAAGTTATATATAATGGCACATATCGAGTTTATCACAATTCTTTTTATCTTTCTCAAAATATGTTCTTAGACTCCTATAACTATTCTTTCACTATTTTATTAACACATTTCAACAAATTGTAATCATGAAAAAATTATAATATTTCTATAATCTTTCATAAACATTTTGAGTTGTTTTTTAATAAGAAAAATCAGTGAAAATTTTCTATTTAAAAATTTTATTGGTTAGAAGGACTTTTTTTTTTTTGGGGTAACAGAAGGACTAAAACTTAAGTATTGATACTTTCTATATATAAAATCCTGCACGGCATTGCTGTTTTTTGTGTATAAAAATATATAAAGTCTTTTCGATTAATAAAATTTTTAAATAGAGATTTTATAACAATTTTCTTTTTTAATATATGCAGCGCATGGAGAAAAGTACTTATTTTACCTGAATCCTCAGTAAAATGGAAGCTTTTTACAGGGTTATCTAATGAATTTGGATTATACTAACTTCGGTCCTAATTATAAGAGCTATAAGACTAATTACTAATTGAAGAGATTAAAAAAAAAAGTTAAGATAGTTATTTATAATAAATAGATGTTGTCTTTATTAAAATATCATTGCTAATCAACTGTAGTGGCTAAAACTACTATTGTTAAAAGGACTATCTTGGAAAAAAATGCATAAATACGAAAGATAAAGCAGATCGTGGTTTTATATTTAGGACCAAAATAAAAATTAAACAAGTCTTATATTAAGACCGGAGGTAGTAATTAGTATATTAATTTAACTAGTACTACTACTATTATTATTAGCTTGAATGAATTGAAATCCTCGCAATAATGGCTACCTTGGGTTAATTTTAAGCTACTAAAAGTTGGATTGCGATGTTAATGTATAGTGATTAAGATTTTAATAAGGGGTGTGTATGAGGTTCGCATGCCTAATATGCCCGTCCGATCTCACAAAAAAAGGACCCAACTTAGCCCAGCCCAACAAAAAGCTACCCGAACAAAAATAGGTATTTTTGGGCAGGGCTAGGCTGCAGGTAGGGTATGTTGCCCTGCCCAAAAAGTATATAATTATATATATTGTAATATATAGTATAATATTATTTTCAGTAATTATCCCCTTTTATTTTGGCTAAAAAATTAGGTAAAATTAGAAAAAAAAATGAAAGGAATATAAAAATTATAATTATATAAAAAAAACAAATATAAGATTAAATATGCTAAATTGCTCTTAGTCAAATTTTTTTCTTTTCCTTTTACCTCCAATTTTTTAAAAAAAAAAAAAACCAACTTTTAAATCTTGTGCTTTCAAATAACTATAAGAATCTACCAACTATATGAATAAACTAAAGAATTGAACTATAGAATTAACTCAGTTATTAAATGTTTAATTATTAAATATTTTTTAACCTCCCATAAGGAATCAAAGGTTGAAGAACAAGACTACATAAGCCTTACATATATGAGTGATTAAGTCATTTGTGATAAAAAATTTTCCCTCTCACCTTGCCTCAAAATATGATAATTGAAATTTTTTTTATACATATGATATGGGTAAGGTGTCACTAAGTTGGGTAGGAAAGCCTGCCTTGCTTAGCCCACTGTTGCCCTGTCCAAAATGGTTAGCGGTTTTATTGGATAGGACTGGACAGCTGGCTGCAAAACGCAGCCTGCTCATCTTTCAAGTTGGGCATCGGGCAAGGGTTTGGCCTGCCCAACCCTGCCCATCTGTAGCCCTATTTTTTTTTAAAAAAAAAATCTCTCAATAATGTTTATGGTGGCAATTTTACACAAATCCACACACTATAATAATATTGAGGAAATTGATAGCATGCTATTTCTTGTCCAAGGCTTCTCCTTTTTTTCCCCTGATTTTGCCAGAAGCAAAGCAAACGATCACACTCAAAAAAGGATTACGTTTTTCCCGATGTATAGAGGGGGGGGGGGGGAAAGGATTACAAAAGACCGCAAAGGATACAAAAGAGTGGTATTAGTTTCGCCTTTAGCATCATGCAAAGACAGCATCGGAAGCTCAGGCTTATTTGCCTTATTAAGTAAGGCCTTAATTTCTTCAACGTGTATTCTGAGTAAAAATGCCCATCATCTAAACTCAGTCAAATTGCAAAACTAATTTTGCCATCAAACTTCTCGATTCAAACTTGATGACAACCAGTGTAGAATTCAGTCAAATCTTTTTGTGACATCAATAAAGAAACTAGGTTAAAAAAGATTGATCAAGCAATGTGAATCACATTGTACGGGATTAGCTCTTCTGCTGAACTCAATAAAGTTTTTTAGGCATATATATATTCTCTTATTAAAAACAATCTTGTTTGAGACACTATTGAACATTAAATATGAATATCTCTCTTAGCGAGAATTTGAACATTGGTTTATCACATTGTATGGAATTAGCTCTTCTAGTGAACTCAATCAAATATGAATTTGCCATTCATTGTGCTCTGATCAAATTTAAATGGTCTACGTTTTTTATGTATTGATGTGTAGAAGTCAACATCCGGGCAACAAGAGAATGACTAAAAGCCAGACTCCAGATAGTTGTGGGATAATTAATCTATGTTGTTTTGTTTTTGGTTGAGTTATTCTATGTTGTCTTGGCAGAAGACAACGAGTTGGGGAAAGTGATATCGTTTTTTTTTGGGGGGGGGGTGAAATAGGGTTTTATGAAATTGATGAAAGAAATTCGTCGTCTCCCCAGCTTGAGGATCAGCAGATTTTGACAAGAAAAAATTAAGATAAATAATAATAGGTTGAGGTATAGTTTTGGTCCTTTAACTTTACATAAGGTTTTATTTTAATCCCTTAATTTTAAAAAGTAAACTTTTAGTCCTCTAATCCTAGAACTGTTAACAAAAAAAAAACGATGATATTGAGTGCTTGAATATTGATAAAATATTACTAAATACTATAATATTAAGTTTAATTTTCAAAATAACCATAATTGTTATAAAAAATCATCATTTAAGACTAACAATTTTATTATTAAAGAACTAAAAGTATACTTTTTAAAGTTAAGGAACTAAACTGAAATTTTACATAAAGTTAAATGACAAATATATATTTTAGCAATAATAATAACAATCTCCAATTAAGACCAACAATATTCGAATCATAGTTATACAATATTAATACTAAATATAAGATAATTACAAGAAAATATATTACCTCCAGTCCTTAATATAAGAGTTAGTTAAATAATTTGTAAATATAAAAAAATTAGTTAATTAGTATTTGTCATAAACGGATGTTGTTCTACCTAAAATATTCTTATTAATTATGTATATTTGAATTATCTCTCTATGAAAACTTTTTAATATATGCAATCACCATAAGTATTACTTAAGGGCAAAATAAATAAATATTAAAAACAAAATGGATTGAGATCTTATATTTAACATCAAATTAAATCTCCCAACAACTCTTATACTGCACTAAAGAGGAGTGGATGCAGTACTTTTTTATTTTGTTATCTGGTTGGATAACACTTGTGCAGCTGATACGAATACTACAACTCAATTATATAAAACTATACTACCCCAGTCTTAAGTATAAAAACTAATTAACTAATTTTAGTAAATTAATAATAAAATAAGTTAAGTTAGTTATTCACTTATTTGTAACTAACAAGTGTTTTTTTTAAAATATCCTTACTAATCAAATATATTGGCTAAAACTACCATTATTAGAAAGACTATCTTGAAAAAAAAATATAAATATAAGAGACAAAATATATTGGAGTCTTATATTTAGAACCAAAATAAAAATCAAATAAAATTTTATATTAAGTAGCAGAGGTGGTACTGATTTATGATGCCCCACACACGCACACATCTCCTTATAACAGTAATGCATTGATCATATTACAAATGTTTCCTACCGCACGATCAAACATAAAACAGAGGAAAAAATATCAGCAGGCGACAAGAGAAAAGGTAGAATAATACAAGTATACAATATGACACATGATATTATACAACCAAAATCTTGGCAATTTAATTGAATTAAACCTTCAAAAAAGCAAACACTTATGATACAACCAAATTCATGGCTTTCCAAATCCCAAACACTGAACCCCCAAAGTAATGCTTCTCCTCATAAACAAGCATATATAATATGGTTACGTTCTTGAATTGTGAGATCGATTCCGACCCCATAATGGATAATATTAATAATCGAGTCAGTGATCCACCCTAACAAACTAACTCGAGCATATATGACTGATGATTTCATGGGATAATTAATAAGACTATAAAGGGACAATGTGATCGAACAATTCAGGAATCAATTATCGCAAGCCTTTTTGTTATCTCCTTTTACCTGCCGCTGAGGTTGTTAGCGAACTGGGCAAACACGGCTGTTCCAGAATGATCATCAATGGGTTTGTTTTCTGGCAGGTCGGTGATATATTGAGGAGTAGGAGTGGTACTAGGTGGTTGTTCCGAGGTTGTCGTTGGGGCAGCGGGAGGAAGAGAAGAATTCGCCGCCGGTGTTGCAGTGGACGCCGGTGAAGGCATAGGATCAGGGACATCGTCGGATTTTCCCTGCACGTAAGCTTCTTGAAGCTGCAATGCATATTCCAGGTTCCACAACACATCCCCCATTGATGGCCTATCAGCTCCATAATCTGCTAAACATTTCTCAGCTGCTTCTGCAAACTTGTTCATCGATTCTGGGCAGATTGTTCCCACAAGAGCAGGGTCTATGATCTTATCAAGCAACCCTTTCCTCTTCCACTGCATCGCCCAGTCCGCCAAGTTCACTTGTTCTCTGGGTAATTGAGGGCACAAGGGGGCCCTAGCACACAGTGTCTCCAACAAAACTACCCCAAAAGAATAAACATCTGATTTATCTGTTAATTGCTGCCTCCTGAAGTACTCCGGGTCTAAATACCCAAAACTACCCTTCACCGCCGTGCTGACGTAGCCTTGCCCCATTGGTGCGTCCTTGGAGAGCCCAAAATCAGATACCTTGGCCGTGAAGTTATCGTCGAGGAGGATGTTGGTGGTCTTGACGTCGCGGTGGATGATACCTTGGGCGGTTCCGGTGTGCAGATAGTGAAGCCCGCGGGCCGAGCCGATGCAGATTTCGAGTCTTTGTTTCCATGAAAGAGGAGGCCGATTCTTGCCGTAGAGATGGTCTCTGAAAGGCCCGTTGGACATGTACTCATAGACCAAGATCATCTCGTCGTTCTCGTCGCAATATCCGATGAGAGAAACCAAGTGCCTGTGTCTTAGCTTGGAGAGCATTTGAATCTCTGTTTGGAACTCGTTGATTCCCTGTTCGGATTGTGGGTTTCCTCTTTTTACGGCAACATTTGTTCCTTCGTCGATGATTCCTAGGTAGACATTACCGAAGCCACCAACTCCGATAATGGCCTTTGAGTCCCAGTTCTTGGTTGCTTCTTGCAGCTCTGCGAATGAGAAGTATCGTCCCAAGCCCGTTGTGGAAGAGCTGAAAATGCTTTTGTGTGAGCCCATGGAGCTTTTCGTGAAGCTATTGTCACCTGCAAGCAAATGATTATGTTCACTATGAAACCCAAGGTTTTGCATTAAGATCAAATCTGTTCGCTTCCTTCAATTTGATTTATTACTCGTTACAGAGACTTAAGATTCTATCCAAATCTGTCCCTAATGTTCATACTGAGAGATATTGAGAAGAATGTTGACCTGCATGAAGAGGAAGCAACCATGAAGAGAAGCTGTTTCTCCTTTGCCAATCTTGGGGTCTCTTGTGCCACTTCACCACCATCGCCCCCAGCCCCACAAACGCTCCGAACATCATTGCGAACCCAACCGCCGCCACCGTGCCCCTGTTCGAACCGCCGCTGCTCTGACCGTCCACCCCGAATTCTCCGTCCAAGCTGTTCACCGTATTGCTCATCTTCATCACTTCGATTCCATTCACTATGGCATTCATGTCGCCGCTATCTGGTTGTGCCGGACCCACCTGAATTGATAGCCCCTGCCCCATCAGCGACGCGTTCACCACAATGTCTTTGTAAAACGGCGTCGTTAATGCTCCGGTTAGGGAGGACAAATCGAGGCTAGCAATCGCCATCTTCTGGTTTACGTATACATTGAAGTAGAGCTGGTTGAGACTTTTGCTTACGATGTCGCAGAAATGGAGTCTTATGAGGTAACTGAAAGCAGTATCCACGTCGAATTTCCACGACACGTTGAAATTGGCTTGGTTCACTTGTGCGTCGGCCATTTCTGTTGCTGATGAGTATACGGTTTGTGGGGCTATTAAAGGAGACATGGTGGGTTGGTTTTCGGGGAATTTAATGACGTTCGGGGCTACCGAAACACTTTTCGCCACGTCCTTGTTCTTGAGAAAACTCTCATCTGGGACCCAAGTTCTTCCCAGACTGTCGTTCGCGGATGTGATTAGAGGGCCTCCATTGTTGACTCTGTAAACAGCTTGGAAGGCGTAGTTTGTGAGGCCTGAGAATTCACCAACAGGGAAGAGAGCCGATCCTGTGTCGGAAATCAAACTGTCCGGGGCTGAAACAACTTCGATGGCATTGATGAAAGCAGCTGAATTCTTGAGGGGCGTGAAGGTTAAGGACATGAGACTGTCGGTTGCATTGATGAGGTACTCTTTAACAATAGGATTTTCGCTGTTGTTGAAGTTAAAACTATGAAGCAGAACAAATTTTTCTGTCTTAACAGAGAAAGTGGCCTTCTGGAGATCAAAAACATCAGTTTTGACAGGGTAGAAATGAAGACGAACCCAATGAAAACCAGGTTCGCTCAAATGGAAAGAGTACTTAGCTTCCTGCTTGAAGATTCTGCAATTAGAATAAATAGGGGAAGAAACGCTAGCTTGACCATCGTTGGCTTTATACTCATCACTGGCATTCAAGTACGTTTGAGATTCTGCATCAGATTTGAACATTCGTCCGTCGGGGAGGGTGGCCGGAGAATCAGCACCACAATCAATGAGGATATTGTCTTTTGGGGAGAATCTGGAGGAGGTGGTGGCGGGTTGTGAGCAAGCCGGGGTTAAGGAGGAAGATAAAGCCAAGAGAATGAGGAAGAGGAGGGTGGTGGGTGAAGCCATGGATAATGAAGAAGAGGATAGAAATTGAAAAGGATGGGGGCTTGAATTGCTGGGTTTTTTTTCTATCTTCTCCATGATCAAACCTCCTGGGGTGTGAGGAGGTTTGAGGTTAGAAAAAGGGAAAGCAAAACAAGCCTGAAAAAGGGTGTATTCACATTCCCTATAATGGTTTTGTCTCTCTCTCACACAGGATTTTTCTATTTTCTTCAAGTTTTTGGTAAGGAAGGAGGATGACAGATTTGGGAAGAGTTTGATTCCCCAATAATCAGGCGCCGAATTTGGGCTGGGAGCTTTTTGGTCCCTTGGAATTTCTGTTGCGTTCTTGTGCCCTCTTGCAACAGTTAAAATTGGTTAATTTGATTTTGGTTTGAACGAGTCAAAACACTTTTTCTTCCTCATTCCCTCCCTCGACAGCTAACTCTTGCTGAGGTTGTCTTTATTTATTTGTATTTGGTTGCACTTCACAGAACCTGCCATGCACGAATACAAATGAACCACCGACTGTCTTTAAGATTTTCTTTCGTTTTCTTTGGTCATGGTGTTTTATCCACTTTTATGAGCAAATCTTTGTTTTATTTATTTATTAAACTAATTTTTTGTTGATTGCACAAGGTTAGGGGAAGCATATTCTTGTTTTGCATTTTTAGATATGTACTATAATTGTCAATTATTTTTACTTTATAATTTTATCAATTAAAACACTATTTTTCATTTAAAAAGTCTACATTCCGCATTCCGCAATGAGAAAAGTTTATGCACTTCTTTGAAAAAAGAAAGTTAATTTTCTTTTTTTGTATTGAAAAATCCTGGTGAAATTGTGAAATCTTGCTCATTTTTTGGTAAGATAATCCAAATTAAATGTAAACAAGACAAGAGTTTGAATTTTTAATTTTAATGCTTTATTTTGAATATAAAATAAGTAATTGAACAAAATTACGTTTTCAAACTACTCAGTTAAAAATAATAATTAATAATTTTAATTAAAAATGAAAAAAGAAATTAACATCTAAATCGTTGAAATAAAATCTAAACATCTAAAGCGAGTGACATAATAAGGTAAGGGGATTACATCTCTCTGCTCCAGAGCAGTGAGTTTAATAGTCTTATTGAGTGATAGTAATATAACAGTGAACTTGTCAGGTAACAATGTGATCATCCAAATTCTAGTCACTTCCACTGTAATGAATCTAGAGTCTGTCGATGAATCAGCTTGTCTCCAGCTGCCACAATATTAAAACCTGGAATACGTCCAATCCTTGAAATGGTGAGGTTTTAATATCCAAATGAGAAGATCACCAAAAGAAACTGAGATAGCAAGTGCATACTTCTTGCAGGTGAAAATGGAGAAGCTTCCCAAAGAAGTTGATTTCCCTTCCAATCAGTTATGACGCCTCCAGCGCCTTCTATGACAGGTACCAATGCAAGAAAATCGTATGGCTGAAATAAACAGTTTAGCCATTGAGATTAGTGGGTTTTCTTTCTCAGAACTGCATAACCTTGTCATGTCTCTATAGGGTTAATAGACTCTCCAAAGTCAAACATTGAGTCCCCAGAATGCATATTACCTTCAGGCCAGACTCAACAACGAGATCCACAAAGCCAGAAGCCAGAAGAGCATAGGCGTAACAGTCACAGCCGTATAATGGAATTTTAACCTGAAATTAGGAGAGTACTAATTAGGAACAACTAACTGCCAATAATATAGAGTTCTTCCCATAACTTTCCTGTTATGATATATAAGCATCCTGTCTAGCGAGTAAGGTTAAACATATGAAGAGAACTCTGTGATAATGGAAAACATGTGAGCAAGTAAACCAGTGGAAGAGAAACTGCTAAAGCTCAGACCCCATCATAAGCTATCAGCTTTGCATATTTTTACAATTGTACAAAGTGAAACTTGCAGTACAAGTTACTCAAGCTCTTGTGTGATATAAGAATATCATTCTCTGGTGATAGGGTTGGATTCGTGTGTGTCATCCCTGCTTATCTTGCACATAATTAAGACCTGTGCAATCAAATGATTCATTGAAGTCCAAGGCATCACTTTTGTTACAAAAGAGGCAGAAATGAATTATATGGAAATATTCTTCTTTAATGACGCCACATGTTCTCATGACCTGTATGTTAAAAATACAGCAGAAATGCAACCGACCTTGCTTCTAACACGGGTAAATGCCTCCTCTGCATCTCCACTAAATAGATGGGGGCTTGTGGTGTACCTAAGTGAGGGGGAAAAATTATATTGAGACTTGTAAACCCATACTTACCATGTTAAAAAAAAGGGCATATGATGAAAAAAAGGCCAAGTCTTCCTTTGTTTCTTGCCAGCACGACATTCTAATCTTTTTGCCAGTCAAGAAATCTTCCACAAGAAGTACACTAAAGAAACAAAAGAAGACAGCATACATGTATGCTCGAGAAAGAGTATCACAAGTACGTGTGGACACTACTTGTCCGTTCAATGTAGTTCCTTTGCCCCTTATCCCTATCCATCTTTCTCTCAACACAGGTTGATCAATTATGCCCAGGATCTGATAAAAGGAAACCAAACTAAGATTATCACTCAAATAAGTGAAGATGACAACAAAATTATTTACATTGTCATATTCAAATCTGCATATCACTTAATATTTGTATCCAGATACGGACACCACCCAGAAAGAGTCATGTTGATAAGAGTGCAACCAAATGGCTATTTAAAATACTGAAGAAACGAGGACGATAAAAAATGAAAATTTTCAATAATTTATAATGCAGTATAGGGGCAGAGTAGGAAAAAATTTCCATGTACGCAATCAGGTGGCGAGAGATCCTTACTGGTCTGTCATTTTGCAGAAGCGCAATGAGGGTACCAAATAATGGTTTCCCTAAAATACAAACAAAACAAAGTGACTCTGAAATTGCAAGGTTCTAACCCAATCATAAACAAAAAATTAACAGCAGTGGAAGAAAATTACCAGTGATAAAGCTCTTTGTCCCGTCTATGGGATCTAAAACCCAAACATACTCTGCACTTTTTTCTCTACACTTCCAGCCTTTTTCCTCTCCATAACTGCAATTTTTATGGAAAATCCAGACAAAAAAATATAATAAAAAATTCTTTGACAAATCATGTTCTTCTTCACTTTATAAGAAATAGAAAAAACAATTTATATACTTACATTCCATGAGAAGGAAAATTCTCTGATATGATTGAAATCATAGTCTCCTCAGCAGATTGGTCGGCGATTGTTACTGGACCTGCAATACTAAGTGTAAGGAAACCATATCCATGAAATCAAACCCACGAAATATGTATGCACTAGAAGTTCAAAGAGGTAAGCTTTTGATGATAGGAATTCAAAAAATAGTAATAATAATAACTTCGTCAGCTCAACCAAAATATTGAATCTTTCAAATTTTACCAGAGGAAAACACTATTATGGTTTGTACTGCATTTTCACCGTCATGTTTGAGCAATGTTGAAAGCATTTTAAAAATTAAAAATTAGCTTAAAACAAAAAAGATCCAGGACAAAATTAAAATGTTATTTATTTCTAGATATTGAAATGTCAAACTTCATTCAATTTATCTATTCTACCTTTTTTCAGACCAAAAGGACTCAAACGCTTAGCTCAATTGGTGAAAAGAAAGAATCAGCCTAATCAAAACAGAACCTATTTCCTCAGGGGGGAAAAGAGAGCAAAATCCTATATAGTAAATACTCAATTAAAAAACCGCTTGATTCTATCCGGACAAAACCTGAACAATCCCTTGCCATATCAAAACGAGAAAAAAAAAAAAATTCTACTTGATTACTCAATGAGTCCACCATTTCTCAGCAAACGAACAAAACTTAAATGGGAAGGACATGAAGAATCAATACAAAAACCAAAAACGAGATTCCGAACACATTCCATCGGAGACGTACTCGAATCATCCTTATCAAGAACTTCAAATTTATTCCTGAAATACTTGCGAATGATCTCTCCGGCGGCGTCAGCGACCTTGTTAGCAACGTCAACAAATCGATTAAGTTCGTTCTCAGAAGCCGCCGTAGCGCGGGTGTAGACTCCATTAGAGAGCAAAGAATCGGAGGCCATGACCCTAATCGAGAGAGAAGAATGTGAGACACTGACAATATTGGAGGGAAAACGATGATGCTTATGTAGTAGCTGGCTAGCTGCCCTGAACTCTGAACTTCTGTCACTGTAAACAGCCCACTCGGCTCGCAACGTTGGATTCAATATTGCTAATTGCTATTTTAAAATTTGATTATTATTTTTCATTAAATGAATGCATCTTGATCTTATTTCCGAGCCGCATGCAAAACCTTATCTTATTTTCACGAAGTATCCAGTATCTTGATATTATTTGTTTATATTGAGTATCTTAATTTTTAAAGTAATGAAACATTAGAGTGTTTGAATAGAAACCAAATCATGGTTTCAAAAATACTTTTAATAATTTACAAAATAAATATATAGAAGGGTTTGTCTCGTTTTGTGAAAAATGCTTTTTAGAAGCACTTTTGAGAGTTCTTAAAACAAGACTAGGATATTGGATGCATAAAAAAAAAAATCAGAATAATGGATGCATCAACGAGACGAAAGTGATGCACCTCTGTCTTATTAATTGAGAAATTTGAATTATACTAATAATAAAAACAGAGAATCATGTCCCAAAAAAATTAAAATAGAGATGGAAGCTGTTTTTTTTTTTTTTTTAGAACCTCAAATTTGCATAAATAAAGGAAACAAGAACCATGTGAGATGATAACCAAAGAACTTGGCGTGAGCTTTGGTTCTATTCTCGTGAAATATTAATCTTTAATTCAACCTCAGCTGCTTCCTATCTTCCAAACCAATCTTTTTTTTTTTTTTACACCCAACAATATGTTATTGACTCTTCTTATAAATTTGTGACGTGTTAGATAATAAGTAATTTAACAAAATATATTTAAAAAAATTAAAGACCTAGACATTATGACCCGTGAACAGCAGAACTTGTAAAATCAAAAAGCAGCATTATAGAATGGTGGAGTACGGTGTAAGCATCATTCGCTAATGCCTCTCAATTTTCTCACCAAGCCACTAAATTTACCATTTCTTTGGTTAACTAATCGAATACAGAGTCTTCTACTAATGAAGATACTAATTTATATGCCGTGGCCACTTGGTGGTATGATCACTGGCTAATTAACTAATCATTTATATTAATAAATAAGTGTTCAAGAAAATTAGTTAAAGACGAGGGAAGGTTTATTGTCGTTGAAGCGTCATTGGTTTTAGCTTCTGTAAGGGCAATGTTACGAAAAAATAGTAGAAAATGATTTTAATTTTAGATAATATACAAAATTCTCCCTAAAAATTAGTTTTGGACACTAGTAGATTCTTGTTTATGATATGCATAGTGTATCTTAAATGATTCATTTTTTTTATCACATCAAACTATCAAACTAAAGCCCACTAAATCTTTAGATGGGGTTTGCTGTGCACTTGCCAAAATTAACTTGACACACCAACAAGTATTAGTCCAAGTAGAAAAGATTTGGACATCTTAAATATTATATTCTGGGTGTGATTTTTAGGGCGGTGTGTATGGAAAAAATATTGTTCAGAGGGGTTCCCACTACGGTACCTGACAGTATCTAAGAGATTAGTTTCTTACCGTTTAAATGAGAAGATGCTCAAGGCAATTAAAAAAAAAATCAACTTGACACCTAAAAGGCTAAAACACACACAGAGAGGAGTGGCCACTTATAGCGGAAAGAATGACAACACATGAAAATTCTTACCTGATGTTGCGGACAAACCGAAGGACGTAAGAGAAGAGATATAATGAATAAATAAAAAGATACAACCTTCGTTTCTTAATATAAAACTTCGTTTGATTTATATTTAGTTATAAATATAAAATCTCAATCTGATTTGTTTTTTATATTTATGTATTTTTTCATAAGGTAGTACTTCTAATAATAACAGTTTTAACCAACACACTTGATTAACAATGGTATTTTAGGAAAGACAACACATATTTATTACAAATAACTAACTTAACTTATTTTTTTAATCTTTTTAAATTAATCAAATAGTTTTTATAATTAGAACTTAAATTTTTATTTAAAAAAGAAAAAGGCACACTGGGGATGGTGGAGTGCGCAGACGGACGTATGCGATGTTGGAGGTTGAGTCATCGTGCACAAACGGGTCGGGGTTCGTTGAATGTGGCTGCCTTTTCGCAATTTACAACAACTGGGGGCTTCCTCCTCATGTTTCATAATCGAACAATAGACCCACATCACATCACGTTACATCAAAGCCCCCCTAAGCATCATCCTTTTTTCCGTCCTTGTTGCGGCAATTTTTGTCTACAAGAATTATGTAATTGAAAATCATTATTAATAATAATTAGAAGTCTAATGACATTACTAAACTAATGCCTTCAATTAACTCTGTTGACGTACAAGAGAACCTAATTACCAACATAGAATCTGCTATGTTAAAAAAAAGCAAAAAAGAGTTAATATGATTTTTAATTTCTAAAATTTAATCTCATTTTGATTCTAATTCATAAAATTTGATTTCATTTAGTCTGTCTAAAATTTTTACTTTCAAATTTCAAGGATCAAAAACCAAAATGAAATCAAATTTTAAAAACTAAAAATTCTATTAACCCAAAAAAATAAGTGAACAAAAACATTGTACTAACAAAAACAATCAAATTTATGGATAAAATTGGAGTGCAAATTCGTAAAATTAAAAAAAAAAATCACACTCAAAACTTTTAACTAGTGAAATCCGCTACATATTAGTACCTCGAGTTCAACTGGAGGTAATATTGAATACTGATGATTATCATGATACTGATGCCACATAGTTGGCCCGTGACAAGCTCAAAGACTAACGGGCTGATCCTAAAAAGACCGACTTTTGACGGGTTGATATTTTTCCATCCCACCACTTTTTTTTTTTATTTTTTTGTGCCTTTTATTTTTTTAATAAAATTTATTATAATTCTTAAACACCTAAAATGAAATATGCATATAGAAATTATCATAAATAAAATATAAAATCCAAAATTCTAAACATTCCAAAATACTACTATAAACATACATAATACATCATCCTAAATGATTAAACATACATCCCAAATTAAAACATAACAAATCTAAATTAATAATAATACAAACACAATGTTACAAATCACTATCAAGTGTTCAACCATGAGCTACCATTCAATGTTGATATAATTCAAAGAGTGATATGAAGATATGAAATTATTTGGTTAAGCTTTATAAGTTGAATCACCTTCTTTTTGCTCAATTAACTTTGTCATAAGTAAAATTCATAATACAAAGTAAAAGATATATTACATTATGGTAATTTTAAATAGTAAGAATGAGATAAAAAAAAACTAAAAAAGTAAACATAATTATATTTGAGGGAAGAAAAAAATTTTAAAAAAAATAGACCAGCTCACCAACCCTGCGGGTTAGTCCATCACGGATTTAGTCTTGACAGTTATGTTCTCAAAAAATCCATTTTAAAACGAACCTAATTTTTATCAACCCAACCCACTACTTCTTGGCAGGTTGAGCTTGCGAACTCAACCCATATTACCGACTCTACCACATATTATGGTATTCCATCATACTGATGATATTGATAACTTACCCTGTAACTTTGTTCCATATCTAATACTCCTCCGGTCCTTAATATAGGACTCAATTCTTGAGTTGGTTTTGATCCTAAATATAAGACCTATTTCTCATTTTTTTTAATTTTTTCTAAATTACCCCTATGGATACTCCCTTAACCATAATCAAATAAAAAAGGGAGAAGGGGTATTAAGAAAGATGATTATGGTGTTTTAGGAAAAATGTGTCACTTTTCTTATAATTAACTAATTTACCTAACTTCCTTAATCTAATCAAATTAGTTAAATGGATCTTATATTAAGGACCGGAAGAGTACTAGTAAAATGCATTTGCACACGCATATTAAAAAAATGGCATAATTCAGGGGACCTACCAAAGAATTCAACAGTAGGCCCAATTATATTGCCAGCGAGATGATTCAACATGCAGTCAACAAGCAATTTAATTAAGTGGGTGATGCATACATGAAAAATGGGGGAAAAAAGCGTCGAATTCAGTCTGCTACAGGCAAAGCGTTAATGAAAACTGTTCATTACAAGCGAGCAACTTGTCAATACAAATAATTGCTATTTTGCCTAAAAATCATCGCCTCACACCAGAAGCTCGCCAAGGGCAAACGGCAAGCATCATCTATATATCATCAGCGCATTCCCGATTTAATTTGGGTGTGAATACTATATATCCATTCAATAAACTAGGCCATCTGTACAAAATAAGAACCCTGGTCTCAAAACAACATAACCTTCTATATTAAACCAATCCTGCACTTTTTCAACTTTTAGAAGGTAACTTCAGCCTCTGATCCTGTTGTAATCACAGATTGGAGCTCAAAATCAAAACTTAATAACATCCAGCCCTCCTCATAATCTTTTGTCTGGGGTTGGGGAGAAGATCAACACTGTAGCCTGCTTTAATAAGAGAAAGAAGAATAGGCATACATTAACGCGGGGGAAAAAACTGCAAAGTGCTTAGAATGTACAGATTGGGAATACTAAAGGTTAAATTTTAATTTCTGTTCCACATAAAACCAACCCCAGATAAAAATAATCTGCGTGTGCAATAGTTGCTTAACTACACAAGGAAATAAAAAGCACACCTTTAATAGTATGATGCTAATGTATGGCAGAAGGCAACGCTACGCATGCAATTTTGATTAGCTGAGGCAAGCAACAAAACGAAGACAAATCAACTTACCTCCTGAAGAGCCAAGAGGCATCGTTTTACTTGCTAGATTTAGACCAAAAGAAGCCCTTTTTTCTTGTAAGGGGATTATCTGACGAGTCTTTGCGACTCTTTGAACCAAATGAAAAGTGCCTCAGAAAGGGTTTCCCAGAGGAGTTTCTTCCACTGGAATTCAAGCGCATCCGAGAAACTTTATGTTGGTTCCCACCACCCTTGAAGTGATCAAACACGATTGAATCATCATCAGTGCCACTATCCACAACTCGATTCATGGACCTCTTGTTTCTAGCCTTAAACTCCATTCTAGCTTTCAGAGCTTTTTCAGACAACTTAAAAGTTTGTTTCTCACCCCAGGTGCAGACTGGGCAAGTTGGATCGTACTTGTTTATTTCAGGCGTCAAGCTCTCCAAGCATTCAGCATGATAAACATGTCCACAGACAAGAACAGCAACTACGGAAAGTTCATTACTTGCAATTATCTTTTGGGCGCTCCAGGAAGACCTCTCAGTTAAAAGCTTTGAGCAAACACAACATGTATGCACATCAGTGAGCGAAGCTGAAATCTGGCTACTGGTTCTAGCAAACTTTTCATCATCAAATCCAAAGGACTCACTGTCAAATGACCATCTTCCTCCATGGGAAGTACCCATTGGCTCAGAAAAGCCAGGTATAGACCAGCCATCAGAAGAACCACCTTGGGAGCACCTACGTGACTCATTGCTCCAAGAAGGAAACGCAGACCTTTCTTCTGAAGCAGGTAAGCTGCTTGGAGACTTGAATCCTGGGATTTGACCAGGAGAAACTTGCCGTAGTATTTGGTTTCCAGGAGAATGGCAGCGTTGCCTTAATAGTGCTGGACTTGCTGGAGATAGGTGACTTTGGAATGAAAGAGGAGACGCAAGAAAGGAGGTTGAAGGCATTGAAAATTGTGGTTTAGAGGGGGATGTGCTTGATCCCATAGGTGATTCTACTGACCCTTTCACCTACAATATAAATCATATATAGGAATATTGTCAAAGAGATCACGGACACTCAGCCGCATAAAAATGTAAAACAATAGAAAGTCAATTCGTTATCATAGCCTCACCTGCTCCATACTCCCATCCATGGAGACACTCCTTGAATTAGGTTGATCTGCCACACCCATAATTAACCATGTCAGAGAACTATAAATAACCATGTCAGAGATGAATCAACCGGTAAAGTGTATTAAAAATGCAAGCCAACAGTTTAAAACAAAAACAGACGATGTATGTCTCAGATCAAGATTGACATCTAGCAAAGCCCTATAGCAGAAAAGATATCACAGCATAAAAAACCCCTGTGGGCAGCCTAATTCTTTGAGACATTTAGGAATATGATTTACAAGGCCTGTTTTCTTTTCTTTCCTTTTCTTTTCCTTTTTTTTTTTTTAAGTGACCTCATCCGGCATCCTAGGTAGACCATCTTTCAGGTACATCAATGGCCTAGACTAATCCCGATTTGCTAATTTGTAGGCATCTCGAAAGGTGGAATAGCTGGCTAGGAGATTTGACGTTTTTCATACCCAAACAAGAATCAAACCCCCGACCTTAGTTAAGGGAGGATAAGCCCCTACCGCTCAACCACACGCCCCTGGTTTTTCTTTCCTTTTTTTTAAATACAAATTATGGGGATCGTTTTTGAGAGGATCGCATTCCTTCCCAGAAACACTCCACATCAACAAAAGATAGCAACTTCCAGAATTTTTACACATTTTTCTAATTTTCACTACTTTTTAATTCTTCTTTCCTCTCAACTAGATTTCCATCAATAACTAATTTCTACTTTTATCTATAATAATTTTCTTTCCCAAGGTTCAAAACATTGATTTTTTAATTACATTTTTAATTTACTCGATTCCATACAAAGGCTAGGTCTTCGCTTGCTCTTTCATGTCTCATTTAACCATATTTTATCAATACTTTATTTCACACACTTGATCCTTGTTTTTATACCATTGGGTTATCATGTAAAAAGACAGTAAAGTAAAATTAGATGTAATATCTTAGAAGTGTAAACAGTGTGTAAAAAGGTGTGCAATTAGTCTTCTAAATACTTTTATTCCTATTATCTGCTCCTTACATTTGACACACCTTTGGTAAGTATATACATGACGATGGAGGACTAGTACACACAATGACAAGACCGAAACTTACTAGCAACAGGAAAATTGAAGCCGCAGATGATAGTATATACTCAACCATTCTTGCAAAAGCAACTACCATAAAAACGAATACCTCCTTTCTAAGTTATCGATAGCAGTCAATGAGAGGATAATTTAAAATCAGAGGCACACTTAGAATTGACTCTTTGCCTAACACTCCTTCGATTTTTCAACACGAATAAATTAAAAACAGAGTCAAACTTATTAATTATTCTTATTCACTTGGTTGACATTCATCAAAACATCATGCAATATTTACTAAGTCTTGTTCATATAATATATGGTATCTTGCCGTGCTAAAGTACAAGAGTCAATATATCTATCTACAAAATAAAATCTATAGAAAACTGCATTATTCATAAGTCATGAATAGTACAGCTCACCTCAGATTCTAAGCAAAACATAGACCGACAATCTAGTTAACCTCAAATATCTTTAGTCAACTTCTTTCCGTACAACGGAAAAGGGATTATCCCATAGAAAACCATGCCAGTGTTCCAAAATATGGCAGCCTGATCGCATTACTACCAAAAAAGTTGTCCGATTTACTGAGTATTTGTTTTCTCCCATCAACTAACTCGTGTTATGAGCAACTCCTGCCTGAGAAAATATGCCTAACAGTCCATTTACGTTATAAATTATGGTCCTATTGCATTTTAAAGGTATCAATTGATTCTTCATTAGCTGCTAGCCCTATCTTAAGATACTCAAAAAAGAAACAATTTACAGCTATTTTACTTTGTAATTTCAGTTACATTTTGCATTATAAGGACTTTGTGACTATACAGCACCATATTTTAACCACCCTAGTTGCAAACATCAATTTTTTTCCCGTCAGTTCATTAGCACAAGCGTTGAAATATGTAAGAAAATACCACAATGCGTCCAAACCTGAATGTTACCCAAGCACATCACACTTATTTCATATTTCCTGCCCAAATTTGCAATTACAATCACCATTCCATCCAATAGGTTGGCATTTGATCTCATATTAAAGATAAATAGTTCAAAAATAAAGTGACAGATGCAAAATCCAATTATCAGTATCCACTCCAAGCAGGCGATAGCTTATCTTAAATTAAAAGAAGAATCCACAAAAGTTACCTGAAGTGAAAGTCCTTGCATGTTCAGCAGTTCCTTCTGAAATTGGTGATTTTTGCCCTCTATGACCTTCACAAGTCTGCAATGACAATCCATCATCTGACTTATATGCTGAGTCATTTTTGTCTTCTGATCCATCATTCTGGCTAACACCATCAGAAAGCCAATTTATAGAGGCATCTTCACCAGCCACACGTCTTCGATGGTCCCAACGAAAACTCCATGTTGGGGAGTAGCGATTGTTTCGATGTAAAATTTCATTAGCTGATCCACTTTGTCTGGTTTTATCTGTATCTTTGGAAGCAACACAACAAACAGCACCCATGCTCAAATATGCAACAATGTTAACCCTATTATATCAACACCACCAGTTGCATCACCAGATACAAATCTGCACCATTAACTTGTCAATACAGGTTTTCCCTGGAATGGTAATGACGTAAACATAAAATCAGTTGTAGATAATCGATAATATAACAGGAGCTGCAGTAACTGAAAGTCTGAAACACATTATTATTTTAATTCAAATTTTGACAAAGAAAAAACAACCGACCAAAAAATTCATCGTTCTACAGCTAGCAGTTTTTGTGGATTTGGATGTAATTCCCCCAGAACCTTACAGAAAGTGGAGACCAAAAAGGTTCAGAACCCAGAGAGTATATGTGGCCGATAGTGTGGGGGTAGTCACCAACACACGAGTTTCAAGTATCTTCCATTCCAAAAGGATTTTTTTTTTTTTGGGCCAAAGTTCCAAAAGGATGCTTCTAAACACACATCCCAAAAGAATATTAGCAAGCGAAAACAACTGCAAAAGCAATGTAACTCGACAGATTCATCTCCAGTGAACACAGAGTTCAACGAAGAAGATTATGTTGAATTGGATCACAACTCTACTATATAAACGCAAATCAACGTGGGGGAGCCTCATTGGAAAGCAAACATCATCCGCAAAAACCACAAATTTCAAGGAAAATTCAGAAAGGGACAGGCAACCTAATGAGTTACTCAAAGGGAACTAAGAGTGAGTAGTAATCAACCGGGGTAAAACACAACTAGCCCGAAATTTGAAGCTATTCAAAACCCCGATCCCAAATACATGCAGAAAACACGGAATTTACAGTAGAAACCACCAGAAAAAGAAAACGCTAAAAAGAAATAAAAAAATTTCTGTGCAAGAAAAGAAATTAAGGGGACCTTTCTTTCAGGAATTTGGTAATCGATATATACTTGAGTTTCCCCCGCAGATGATAGTAATACGAGTCTCTGAATACGAATACAGAAGAGCAAAGCTGACGTGACGAAGCCGCACCTTTCCTGAAAGCAAAGGAGAGAAAGCTTCTAGAGAGAGAAGGTGAGGAACAAAGGAGACTGTGCCCTTTGTTGCAGAGAGGGGAAGACGAGGAAGACAGGGATCGAAGGAAGGGAGAGGCTGTTTTGGATGGTCTTAACGCCGTTAGGAATTTGTTGGCGTGCTTGTTATTTTCGGTTCGGTTCGGCGTTGCCATTGAACATGACGAGCCTTCATTCGGTCAGGTACTTTTTTTATTATTCTTAATATAAAACTTATTTAACTACTTTAATTAGATTAAGACAGTTAAGTAAGTTAATTAATTATAAAAAATATGTCATGTTTTCTTTAAAACATAATAACCATCTTCCTTAATATCCTCCCTCATTCTTTTATTTGATTATAGTTGAGAGAGTATCCATAAAGGTAATTTAGAAAAAATTAATAAATATGATAAATAGGTCTTATATTTATTATCAAAATTAACTTAACAATTAAGTCTTATATTAAGGACAAGAGGAGTATTAAACTGTTTTTTGCCAGATTTATTATTAAACTATTTACACATATTTTTAAAAGTGGATTTGATATGTATACATTTGGCCAAAAATATCTATAAAACTTTAATTCATTTTATCTTTTAAATTTATAATTTTTTAAATGAAGACATTAATGAGTTTTTACTTTTATAAATTAATTATCTGACTAGGTATTATATATTTTAATACAAATATAATAGATATAAAATATTTTATATTATATGATTAACTTTTGTACATGATATATGTTGCTGAATATAATAAAATAGTAATAGAAATACAAACCATCTATATATTTATAGACAACATGATATTTATTATACTCACTCCTGATTTCATGGGCAAATTTGGTGTGTATATACTATCTCCGTTCTTACTTATAAGATCTCATTTATAAACTTAAAATATAAATACTCAAATTAGAGGAAAAAGGAAGATAGAGATATCAAAAAGGGCAAAGAAAAAGAAAAGGACGAGGGAGTAATATTGTTTTCTCTCTTATTTTTAATAAAAGTAATACTCCTCCGGTCCTTATTATAAGACCCAATTTGACTTTTTATTTGGTCCTAATTATAAGACCCAATCCATTTTGTCTCTTATATTTATGCATTTTTTTCCAAGATAATCCTTCTAATAATGATAGTTTTAGCCAATATACTTAATTAGCAAGGATATTTTAGGAATGACAACACTTATTTATTATAAATAACCAACTTAACTTACTTCCTTAATCTCCTCAAATAAGTCAATTGGGTCTTATAATTAGGACCGGAGGAGTAGCAATATTAAATACTCTACTTTTCATTCACATGGCTGTGTGCATCTTTTTCATGAATTCTCGTATATTATGAAATTGAAGCAAGATGCCAAGATATAATTAAATCTTAGTCCTCTTGTTTGATTGGTAAACAACTCAGCTAAAAGATTTTTGAACGCTTAAGGTGCGTGTATACATGTATGTGTGGGGTCATAACTAATTTAACATTATTCACTTTGTGAAACATTGAAAAAAAAAGAAGGTTTTAATAATTATTAATTCAAGTATGCTTTTCCTGCGGTGTTTGGAAATCATAAAAAAACATTTAAAAAAAAACTCTCATATAAGTAAAAACAAAATTCTTTTTACATATTTATTTCAAACTCTGTAAAATCACTTTTAAAAAACTAACCCAATATCCCCTTAATCTTCTTGTTGGAAAAAGTAAAAACTAATGCTTTTGTGTCTGTAGTTTTAAATTGGTGCGATTTAATCTTTATAATTCTATTACAGATATACAGTTGTAACTAAGTCTTTGAATTTGAACTTAATGGAACTCAATCTCATGATCTAACCATTTAACATATTAGCTCTTTATTTCGAAAAAATAAAATCACATATTTTATGAAGTTTGGAGACTAAATTTTTAAATTATTAAAATTATAGGAATTTTGAATTATACTAAAAGATAAATTCAAGACCAAAATCACAATCAAATCGAAACTTAAAAAAATGAAATTTTTTATTAAAAAAAAATAAAACTTTGGTCTGGTCAAATGACTCTTAGCTCTTCAAGAGAGTCTTATGGTTGAGCTAACGTATAATAAATTTATTTCAGACTTCAAGTGCTTCACAAGACCCACATTTTATTTATTAAAGACTCAAAAAGTCAAAAATAAAATCAACTTGGCCCAGAAAATGAGCATTTGACGACGAAGACGTTTCCAATCCCATAATAATAGTTAGGTAGTGACCTGAGTGGCTTAGACGCCGCCCCTTGACAAGTCAAAACGCAACTTATTTATTTTTCAGCAAACACACATTACACAATTGATAGGGAAAAATGACAAAAATACGTCCTTTATCCCAAGATAAAATTAATTTTTCAGTAAACGTACATATTTTAATGAATTTATTTTTTTAGAATTTTATTTTGGTTATTTTTTGAACTTTAATTTCTGTTTTAGTTTGATACTGTATCTTAATTGGCTGAGTGGGGTTTATATATAATTTGTGAATAAAAATAAATATAAATTAAAAATGAAATAGGTTTGGCACCGAAACAGACAAACAGTCAACTAATCCGCAGTTTGGCAAACGAATAAGGCCATTTGTTAAAGCTTTAAAAGAGTTTATAAAAGAAAATACTTAGTTTTCCAATCATACATAATCATATATCTTATTTTATTTTTATTTATATAAGTTTATAATAAAATAATAATATTTTAAAAATAAAGAATTACAAAACTTAATATAATAGATATAAAAAACGTATAATCTGTTTATAAATGATAGGTTTATTATATTTTTAATAATAATAATAATCAAATTCTTTCTTGATTTATTGATTTTTTGCGGCCTCCATATATTGGTTCACTGTAATTTTCGAAGTTCAGAATTTTCTCATCAGCATGCTCTAACTCTTCATTTCGAAAAATGGCAACAACAAAAAAACAGAATCCTAAAAAAATATCTTTGAATTTCAAAATTTCAAATAAGTCTTGTTAATTACACTTTAATAATAATTAACAATATTAGAAAAATAATAACACATTTTCTTAGTTATTCTTGATTTTGGATTTTGAAATTTCAAAGATTTTTTTTTTGGATCTTTCCCCAAAAAAAGATTTTATCACAGGATTTGATAACTTCATTTCCAAATGTCATCCTGTGTTGAGAATAATTTCTTTATTTGTTGATTATGCAATATAGATATAATAATAGATTTCATTTGACATGCAAAATTTATCACTATCTATTTCTATAATAATTACACATGTTATTAACTATTGAGTTGGGAAGATCATAATTAGAACTTTAAAAAATCCAAATTTATAATTTTGGAATCAAATTTTGATCAGAACATTAAAGTGGCGCGAACACAACTTTCTATACTGGCCTACATTTAAAGTCAAAAGATACACTGTGATATAATCACAAAGTAAAGTCTAATAAAAAATGTTAGTCTTTTTTTTTTACCAGAAAAAAATGTTAGTCTTTTACAATCTCATTAAAAGAGACGTCTATATTTAATGTCCATCAATATTTTGAATATACTTGACAAAAGAAAAACACTGATGCAAGTCCAAACCAATGAGATATAGGGCCTACTATTTTTGCCAATGGCAACATATCCTTGGGGTTTTTACCTAATTGATAATTACTGTAAAATACAAAGCCCGTTTTCTCTTTTCTTTTTAAGCAGAACGTGAATGGTGAACTTCTCCACGCCCCATCACCTAGTGACCTCATCTTTTAGCACATGGTTGAAACTGTCATTTTCTTTCTTCATTAATTTTCTATCCCGGTGTGAATAAACTAATTAATTTTATACCATTAATATATATTAAATATACAAAATAGAGAACTACAAGGATGGATCCAGCCAGGGCTCCTGAAAACACAGAAGACCCGTTTTAATTATATATGTGTGTGTGTGTGTGTGTGTATAATTTGAAGTATAGCATATAAGCTATTGCGTAGAATATACCCTGGCGAGAGTGCCTTCTTAATCAATGATACGCCTTTACATTTCTATTTTGTGTGCATGTACTTATTATATCATATACATTCATTGTATTTTTATGCGTACCATATGATTTTATCGGATATTGAAGTTTTAATTGTTTTTTAGGACCAGGGAATGAGTAATATACTACCTCCAGTCTTAATTATAAGAGCTAGTTAACTAATTTGAGGAGATTAAGGAAATAAGTTAAGTTAGTTATTATATCCTTACTAATCAAATGTGTTGGCTAGAACTATTATTATTAAAAAGACTACCTGAGAAAAAAATACATAAATATGATAGACAAAATGGGTTAAAGTCTTATAATTAGGATTAAAACAAAAGTCAAACGAGGTTTTATATTAAAGACCGGAGATAGTAGCTTGCATCCGGTTCCTTTTTTTTTTTTTTTAAAAAAAAAGACTTTGGGTTATCTAAACATAGGATTATATTGGGGCCTTTTGATTACTTGCAAAGTGGTTGACAGAAATAAATATAACGTAAACTAATAGGCATGGCCATTGTTTTAGTATACTTCAAACAAGAATTATATTATAATGTAACCATCTTCCATTGCGATTTTAGGCGTAAAGAGGATTACTATATTGGATGCAATTAGGCTTGACATCACAACAAACTGATTACCACGTAAAAGCAAAACCAAAACACACATACAGAGAGTGTGTTTATGCAAGTGCTTTTCCACTACATTACTTTTTATATATACAATGCATGCGACCAAAGAAGCATATACTAGCGTTCAATTTGGTTCTAAATATAAGACTCTAAAATCTACTTTGTCTCTTATATTTATCTATTTTTTCACAATGTACCTCTTGTTTGCACATGTTAAAAGTTCCGTCAAATAGTAGTTCAAATTAATACACATGAATAATAAGGGTATTATAATAAAGACAACACATATTTATTACAAATAACTAACTTAACTAATTTTTTTATTTTTTTTAAAATTAGTGAACTGGATCTTATGTTAAGGATCACAAGTAATATGTGTGTGTATTTGGCTTTTTTTTTTTCATTTGAAAAAAAAATCCACTCAACCATAACAAATGTGGAGTGATATTGGTCTAGATCATCAAATTTAATATCCGCGTTGTTTAGAGCACAAGCATAAACCATGCCACAAAACTTATATAACATAACACATACCTCTCTAAATACATATGCATATATTTATATTAAACTGTTAGGGTTCACAACATATATGATAACAACACATACCTCATGATAACGTAACCAAGTATACTGTATATTTGTATATATTACATAAATACGATAGTAGGGATGGATTATTTATGATATATATATATATATATTGGTATGATCCCATCATAACCCTCCCTCCCTCCCTCCCTCCCTCCCTCTCTATATTTATATGAAGAGAGAGGTCAAGTAATTAATTACTATTAGGAATGAGCTTGGAAGGAGGCTTAGAAAGAGTTGGAGAAGGATCGTATCTTCCATAGTCTCTTGTATTTGCCCTCAGCAGCCTCTCGTGCATCACGCTCTCTTCCTCCTTTCCCACCTCCTACACCAAATATATATACACATATATTATTCAATTCCATTAATTAATTTTAACTATATATATATATCTATTATACACAAACCAATTAATAATATCAATATACATATATATATGCCCTTCCAGTTTTCAGTATTATCTATATACATGGCATTGGTTGCTCATGGTTTATGCGCCATACTGTCAGGTGGCACGCCTCAAAAGTGTGAGAGAGATCTATATGATCATTTGTGTCAAGGGGAAAAGGGGGGGGGGGGGGAGGGGCGACTTTAGTAACCCATTTATCCGTTGAAGGGTTTTGGCCCGGAGCCACAAGTGGAATTACTTGATCGATGATCATTTAAAAAGACTGTAAGTGAGATGCATGAAGAGGTTGATGATGATGACAATGTTGACAGATGAAACCTAACTAGCTAGTTATCTGTGCTGTGGGTTTTCTTCTTCAGTTCGTTCTTGAACCACAAACTTATCAGAAACAATGATCGAGACAAAGGATTTTCAGACACTTACCTCTTCTTGAACATCCACATCTGCAGGCAACTTACTGACAAACTTTGTTCTTCGACCTGCAAATCCATGAAGCAAAACAAAACTGCGAGCTTATATATATGGTTCGAGAACGAAACATACATACATATAGATATACATACACACATGTCAAGTATCAAAGAGTCAATAAGGTTCACATGTGCTCTGCACTAAGCAACTCAAAAGATGGAATCAAGCTCAAATCCCTAAAATGTACATTAAATTTAACTATTTCCACATGCAAGCACTTAGTTTTAGGTAGCTTTCTCTGGCAACGTGGCTAGGGTTTTTTTGGCACCAAATAAGTCCTCAAGAGATCAGAAAAACTTCCAACAAAAAAAGAAAAAAAACACACCAACCTGCAAAAGTAGCAGTGAAAAGTGACAGAGAAATGAGCAGAAAGATGGTGAACTTCTTGAGAAGCACGAGACTACCCATTATCTCTTAGAAAAAAGAAAACTAAGCAGGCCAAGTTATTATGATATGATGCTTCACTGTCTGTATATTTAGCAGGAAACTATAAATTTGGCTAGAGATGGGTAGTGTGGTGTCGAAGAAAGAATTGAAGAAAATTGACAGTTATATTAAAGAAAGCAAACTTTCTGTTCTCTTGAGCAAGGAATTCAAACACAAAAAGGTAAAAAGTGACCACTTTCCCTTTGTTGGGGCACTAAGTCTAAGAAGTTAGTGGAATGCCATAAACTTGATTAATCAATTAATCAATTCATTATAGGACCATAGTTGAAATCTGACCCCTTAGTGGAAAATTATTGGAGTTTCCTTCACGCATGCTTTACAACAAAATTATATTTTCCTGGATACCTAACTCATATTATATTAATTTAATTTGTACCAAACGACCTTTGCTACTTGAAATACAAATATCCCTGAAAACGAATTAATTAATTCATTGATTGATTGATGGATCCACTTGCTTGACTTCTCATCACGACTAAATAGTGCAGAAAAATTTGTAGGTTAAAGCTTATAAACAAAAACATAAATATATAGCTAAATCGAATATTGAATCATAAATATGTATTAAATAATTTTTAACCAAAATTCATTCTTAAATAGTTACTCGTTGACTCATACACACGCACACACTTGACTACATTTTGTCATAAATCAAATTCTCTCAATAAGCTATACTGAATTAATTAATTAATTATTGAAGAGTCGGGTAAATCAATCTGATATCTCTGTGGCTTTGAATTATATACGTACATTATAATTGAAAATAATTGTTCATAATTGACTCAACCTATTAACTTTTTCATAATCTAGCTAATTAGAAGCCTACCATTAAAGTATTTATGACATGGATAGGGATATGACTTTCTCGCTCAGGGATTGAGATGAATAGGTAAGGGCATATACATATTGCATGGTTGGGCTCAAAAGGAGACAACGTAGGTATAAGACACATTAATATAATTTTAATATCTCGGAATGACTAGTGGTATCAATAAGCCTAAAAGACAGCGACAGCAAATGAGAGGACTTTGGTGGAGAATAGAAGAGAAGCACTGCCTGAGGTTAAAATGTATATTAAATATGTGTGCCCTTTATCTTTAACCCATTTTTTCTGCAAAAGTGCTTTTGGGATCCATGTTCACATGCTCCATCCCTTACTTGAAGAAGCATTATCCTGTCTCTCTCTCTCTCTCTCTGTCTCTCTCTCTCCATATATATATATATATATAAACTCAATCATTAATTAAATTGATCATCCTCACACCACTTTAACAATCTAGTCTCACACTATATGATTATACTCCTCCGGTCCTTAATATAGGACCCAATTGTTGAGTTAGTTTTGGTCCTAAATATAAGACTCATTTATCATATTTATCAATTTTCTCTAAATCACCCCTATGGATACTCCCTCAACCATAATCAAGTAGAAGAGGGAGAGGGGATATTAAGAAAGATGATTATGGTATTTTAGAAAAAACGTGTCACGTTTCTTATAATTAACTAACTTACCTAACTTCCTTAATCTAATCAAATTAGTTAAATGGGTCTTATATTAAGGACCGGAGGAGTATATGCTTTCATCAAACTGATAGGATCATAGTGGAAGGTCATATATATGGTAGATTGCAAACCGAATTTCTCATACATATCTATAATAATGAATATGCATGACACCGTTGTGTTCTTATATATAAGGTAGAGAGATAATAAATTTTTTATCACTGATTTTCCTCCTTACCTCTTATTAAATGGGAGTGTATAAAGCGTGTGTCATAAGGGCAAAGTTACAAACTTATTAAACCTCCATATAAGAACTAATAAGTTTTCGGTGAAATATATTAGAAATGATCGTAGAGGTATCTTTGAATAGATCATAGTAATCCCAGTACCAAACCCCTGCAGGTTACAATTTATTGTTGTCTTTTCTTTTTCCTTTTCTAAATTTATGAATCTCGTGAATGGATCAAGCAAGATCAGATATTGGCATCTTTTATATTCATTCACTGTTTGGCAGTCCACCCACAACAGGATTGATGGAAGTGAGAGACAGGAAACTAAAGAGAGCGTTCAGACAATAATCGACAGTGTGTGTTTGTGTGTGTGAGAATTGTGCTCGTAGATGCAAAAAGAGAGGGTGGCCTCTTTTATTAGGTATGTAATGATTTAAAAGTGAGAATTGAATTAGCGAATATCTCTGAAACTATTTTAGTTATACATATGCACTCCAGAGATTAACCAGAATTACAAGTTTTTCATGTCATCTCTCTGCGCAATCAAAACACACATATAGAACTGGAAAGTTCAAGTTTTCAAATTAAATTCCGCGTGGAATATAATTTAGAAACTAAAATAAAAAAACTTTTGGAACCATCAGTCGATATAATCAGCAAGCAAACGAAATTCATAGCAAGATATATCATTCTCATCAAAATATTATAAAGCCTCAAACTCCATCTAATGTAGGAGGTCTCTAATAAGACTGAGATTTCGGATAAATTAATATTACTTATGGACTTCAATATAAGAGTTAGTTTGACTTTCATGTTAATCCTATATATAAGATCCTAATCCATTTTATCCCTCATACTTATTCATTTTTTCTAAGGTAACCCTTGTACCAGTTGCATATGTTAAATATTTCATCAAATGGTAGTTCTAGTTAATATAATATACATGATTAGTAAAGATATTTTAAGAAAAATAATACTTATTTATTCCAAATAACTAACTTAACTAGATTTTTTAATCTCTTAAACTAATCAACTAGTTCTTCTATTAAGGACCAGAAGTAATACCGTGGAGACTGAATTGGCATCAGTATGATGCGCTGGGAATCTTTAGCCACCTTTCTGGATATGATCGATCTTCTTTGCGATTGTTTATAATAATATTAATTGCTACTTTGTCACATTGCGCTTCCAAGTGGACGTTCTTCCTTTCTTATCATTATCACGAAGACACCGTCACCTTGTTTGCTTCTTCTATATATGGGGATTTCTTCTAAACCATTATTAAAGAAGCATTCAGTTTCCATCATTTTTAGGGGAGCAACTTTTGCTCCATTCAACAATGAACTGATTATATAAAACATTTCTAGGATAATTAAAAGGCACATCTTTTGGTAATTCACGCTGGTGTAAATGGGAAAAAAACTCTCATCGCTTAAATAAATGGTTGGGAGTTTGAATGTCAATTGTTGTTTACGTAAATAAGTACTCGGAAGATATCTTTGGCCAACAAGTACCGGGATGATTTGAGTTCTTTGTAGTGTGAATATTCTGATAATGAGCCAACAAAAAATTAAAATTAAACATAAGAGATTAGTCCCATGTACGTGTCGAATTGTATATATATTTGTGGAATTTCCCCTAGGAATAACATGTTTCATCGTCCAATAGAATAACTAACGAAAGAATTCACAACATGTCAATGTAATAAACTCATAGAGACTGCCAGACTCCTACCATGGAGAGATAACTATGATGAAGAAGCACCCTCTGGTTTTTGGTCACTTTGGTTCTTTTGGACAGCTTCATTGCGTAGACTGTTTTCTCTTGCGTATGCAGCCTTAGCACCCTGCATCAAAACTAAATGATTAGTTGATTCTTGTTAATCAAATACAGACAAATCAAGAGCAAATTATGATTAGAGGATAATGAAACTTTTGTTTCCTTAAGTTTGTCTAATTTATTATTTGGTTTTTGAAGTTTAATCTTTGTCAATTTAAGTCCCTAAAATTTCATAACCATACATAATTACATCACATCTGTGTTTATGATTATATGTCTTCAACCTAAATATTAAAATAAAAACCAATCACCTGATTCACAAGCACCTTCTGTTCAGATTCATTCTTGTAACGATATGATCCTCCAGCTTTTTTAAACCATAAGAACTAATTGTGTACGGTTATGAAATTAAACTTTAAGGATTTGATGAAATTAAACTTTCAGGACCAAATCAATAACTGAGGCAAACTTGAGAGACAAAAAATTTTGGTAATTCTATGATTAATTAGTTGGCAACACTTACTTGGAAAATGGTTCCTAACTTTTTCAACCCTCTAGCCCGTAGCCTTAAAACATCTCTGCTGGCACTAGGATCTTTAAGAACCTGAGCCAGAAACAAGTGAAGTATCATTTTTTTAAAAGTCTTGCAATTAAAGTAAAAACTAGAGAAGGATAAAAGAATAAAGAAAGATATATGCAGAAGTAAATTAAGAATGTAAAAAAAAAGAAAAAAAAGAAAGACGTGATGTAAATGATCTGAGTACAACATATGTTGTGGCTTGGAAGTTTTCGGTATTAATCAATATGATAAAAATTGTCAATTAAGCTACAGAAAACAAACGGTGATAAAACATACAGCTAGGCAGACATGTGAGAGAGTTGTTTCAATATCAACCACGTTGATCTGCCAAAGGGAATGAATCATGGCATCCTTCTTATCTTCTATCGCTTTCTCCAAGTTTTCGTCTTTGTTTTCTCCTCCTTGGTTTAGCCTCTTCAGCTCTTCTTGGATTTGAATCAAGTTCACAGCACCTAATTAATTCTCAAGTATATATATGTATACATATCAGTGTCATTACTTGAAAGTTTTCCAACATCATGAAGCCTCCAATCCATGAAGTAATCCTTTTTCGGATGACATATCCAAATATAGTGTCTAGTCTAGCGAGTACCTGAAGCAGCCATGACTTGTGACTTGATCTTGTGTCCTTTGTCTCTTACCCACTCTGCTAAAAAAGGTACTCTCATATATCGGTTATCCTTTCCAATTTCTTTTGCAGCTTTTCGCGTGTAAATATACCCAATTGTGTGTAGCATGGCCTCTCCAAAAGCTGGAATAGCGTCATATATTACTAAACAAATAAATCCTAAGCATAGAACCAGTACATAACACTTAAAAAGGAAGTTCATCGCCCAAGATACTGTGATTTGTTTCATTTTCTTTCTTTATTTTTTTTATCGAATGTCTCACTTTCTAAATTATTAATAATTTAGAGCGATTAATTAGTATTCTAAGATTATTGCTCACAATTAAGGCACAAGCACGCCTTCTGCAATCAAGACATGATATTCTCATAAAAGATATCTTTCATTAAGAGATATTAATTAGTATCAGACTTTCACTCAAGAAACATATTTAAACATCCTGCATATTGGTAAATCATGATATATATATATATATATATATATATTTCTATAAGTCTTACAGCTTTCGAAGTTCAATTAAAATTTTTGTAAATGAAATAAATCCAAACCTTATATTGCACCAGAAATTGGTGACATAGTACTCATTTTAGGTTGAAACAGAAATTTTGATTAATCAAATTGAAAAGAATCTATAGCAACAAAGACCAGGACTATTATCTTCAGGCCCTTCCATGATTGATAACTAAACAAGCGCATTTTGGAGCAGACAAGAAAAAAAAAATCATAATGAATAAGAGCCTTGGCATGTAAAATGGAATGAAATAAAAAGAGAGAGAAAGAACAATATGCCTTAAAAAAAACTACTAAAATATAAAGAGAGATAAAAATTTTATGTTGAAAAAAAAAAATTCCCCGTTTTTCCTTTTAATTGTCAAATCAAACATGCCATAATGCCAAAAACCCAAACCTCCAAATTGCTTGTGGTATCTTCGAAACTCCATTGATACTAATCCCCCAGTTGGTTAGCAAATTAAATATTATTTGGGCCAAGAATCGAGATATTTAATTTTTATGATACATTTGTTATTCTTATTTAGCAGTGATTTATCCCAAACGGACATTTTTCATCTATAATTTTCTTTTTTTATATTCTCTATTCTATTCTACCTCTGCCAAGAGAGAAGAGCATAGTTAGTACCGGCTTGTGAAAGTTGGGCTGCTTCTGAATTTGCCCATGTTGTAAATTCTTCTGTTTTACCATCGACAAAGGGTTGGAGGTGATGTATAAGAGCGGTTATAAGTTTTTCTTCCCTATCTTTCTGCCATGCCTACGTACGGATCCAAATTACAGCAGTTCAGCAGTTAATAACAGGAAGTGGGAAGCAGAAACTGTATGAGATACCAAAGAGAGAGGGGGAGAGATCGAAGTTTACTTTTATCTTCTCTTGAATTATTAGCTTACGAACTTCGGGGTCTTGTAGGTCTTCCTCAACTTCTATGGATGCTAGAGAAGCCAATGCAAGTTGCCCTATATATTCTTCAAAACATTCACTCCCAAACAGCATCCCAAATACAGCTGTAGGGTCTAACATGGATTCTCTGCCAACCAAAATGTTCCGTATATATTATTCACTTTCTCAATCGACACATATATAAATACGTAGTTGGTTTAGCAAGAGACAACAGGAAAAATCAGAGGGAGATCATCAAAGTATAAACATTGTATAAGTAGTACTCTAAAATCATGACTTTATGGCTTCAACTGCAGAGACAGAATTTCATGAAATGATGGAGATCATAACCAAACAGATTTTAACTTCTTTTTTCAGTTATGTGTGTGTGTGTGAGTGTGAGGTTGTATGTAAACTTACTGTGGTACTCCTGACTTTCCGTGCTTATCATATGCTTCACGCTTTGCAGGATCACTTAAGACCTGGTACGCCTCACCAAGTTGCTGTGCACAGATACCATACAGGACACATTCCATGAAAAGGAAATTGAAAGAGAAAACACGAAATGTCTTGAGCTTTTTTTTTTTTTTAACCACATTCAAGACAACTGAAAGAAGAAACCAGAGATAAAAGAATGATGGGCAAGAAATTTTATGACAGATTCATGTTCGGACACAAAAACCAACCAGGAATGATAAATAATACTTCATAGAGTACGACATTGTATCATGAAGGGCAATGAATTCAAAATCCGCATCAAACCATTCACTCCTCAACGTGCTCACCTGAAAATTCTTGGCAGCTGTGGGATCCCCAGGATTCTTATCAGGGTGAACTATCCTTGCCTGAAGAAAAGAAAGAAAAGTTGTCAGCAGCCTAGCTCAATCATAAACACAAGACCAGAGGTCCATGTACATCTAAGATGTCGGCAACTACGTTCTATCTGACAAATTAAACAAATTTATGCGACGAATAAGACCACTATGCAAGTGTAAGAAATCGTTCCAAATGATACGTGATTCAGTTGAAAACATAATCATCTAACGTATTCAGGGGCGTACGTCAGGGAGGTACAATGCAGATTAGCTGCATGGCAAGATCAAGTTAAACAAATGCACTGGTACAAATTGAACGTTCACAACACACCTTTCAGATTAATTAATTCCAAAATATAAACACAAAATTAAGCTCAGAAGCATCGTCAAATGTGAGTTCGTTCGGCTCCCATTTATGCTTTCAGAATTCAGGAAAGGAAACATATTAAGCATAGATGGAGAAGGATTTACCTTGATATAATAGGCCTTCTTGATCTCAGCAGAGGAGGCATCAACGTCGACGCCTAATGTATCGTAGTACGTAGTGTCCTTCACCATAGCTGGATGATATCCGAATCACAATTCCAATCTCTCGAATAAGTAATTTGTGAAAACACAATCACCCGGTTATTACGACAACGATTTGATACACGCTTGCAAGCGAAACATTCCAAATGGTGAAAACCCTCAAGACGAACGCGAACGAAGTAAATTGAGTCGCTTTTGTGATTTCCTTCTTTCTTTGGAGTCGAAGGTATAACGTAATTCTCCTAACGACGAGAAACTTGTTTCGCTCTTTATTACTCCTCTGGTGATCACGGGACGGGAAGGGAGAAGGTGTTTTTTATCTTATTCATCACTTCATTTCGTTATATCTTTAGCGTTGATGTATTATTTCAAATCAGAATAAAGTTAAAAATTTATTATATTTTATTGAAAAATTAATACATTTTAAAAAAAATTTAACTATATGAAATATGTTATATTTTAATGGATTATAAGCTTGGGTTTTTGAGAAAAATATTTTCTAAGAAAAATACCTAAATAAGAGTGTGTTTGGGATCACGGTGAGGGCCCTCAAACTAACTTATCCACCGGTAAAAGCTGAAAAAAGTGACTTCTTGTTTAAAAGAAATGTTTGGATCCATCGTGAAGATAAATGGACTTATGCGGAAATGGACTTTTTTTTCATAAGCTGCTGCCTTCAGCTTCTCCGCTTTCAGCTTTTCCGTCTTCGTGCAGCTTCTCCACTACGCCCTTCGTGGGGCCCATGAGTGAGGGAGTGGAGAGAATACATTATGTGAGTTCTTTTTTTTTTTTTCAATCCAGCTAATTAGTTTTTAATATTAAAAAATTATTTTTTGAATAATAAAATCATTTTTTTAAAAATAAATTATTTATTCTTTAAAAAATAAATATTTTTATTTTTATAATTTTAATTTTAATTTTTCTCTAACAATTATCAAATTATAAATATATAAAATAAATATATATTGTTTAATAAAGTTTATATCCTTTTCAGTCATTTTACATTCAAACTTACTTTTACATTTATCATCCAAACAAGTTTCAACTTCTCAAACTGACTTTTTTCTAAAACCCAATCCAAACATAAATCACATTACCCTATCTGACTTTTACTCAATCTGACTTCTATAAAAGTCAGATTGAAAAAAAGTTACTTCTGCCACCGCTATCCCAAACACACCCTAAAACTTGTTTCTTTTTACGCGGCAAGCCCAAGCGCCACAAAAAAGGACAGACAGGATTAATTGGCCGATTGGGAAACTAAATACATCTTGAGCGTCCGTTGTTAAAAAAAATTATCCCATCTGTTCGTTGCTGATTAGCCTATCCATCCTCACGGTCACGGAGCTTGTTTTCATCCCCGTGGCCATTTTTGTGCGTACTTCTTCGTCCCCTCTCTACTAGCCCTCTACGGCGATACCGTATATTATTGATACTGATTTTATGCAACAGTAAGTAACGGTTTGCAACGGATTGTAACTGCCACTTACCACCATGCAGAGTTCTGCGAGCCCGCCCGCCACTTCACAGAGCGTGAGATAAGGCATTGCAGAACCTTGTTCGAAAATGGAGGTCAATACCATGTCCCAGGCTTTGCAACTTCACGCACGAGTTCTGAAATTAGGAAACACACAGACCAGCGAGTCCCAGAAAATTTTGTCCAATATCTTCACTTTTTCCGCCCTATCAGCCGCTGGAGATCTCAACCACGCTCGTCTCATCCTCAAATCCAATCCTTCCTTGAACTCTTACTTTTACAACACCATCATCCGAGCTTACTCTTGGAGCTCCGACCCCACCCATCCCTCACAAGCTCTCTCTCTTTTCCTCTCAATGCTCCATGGACCGTCCCATAACATGCCTGGACCTGATAAGTTTACTTTCCCCTTTGTACTCAAATGTTGTGTCCGTTTGAATCTCATCCCTCAAGGGGAACAGATCCATGGGTTGATTGCTAAAATGGGTTTGAGTTCGGATTTGCATATTGGGAATTCGTTGATTTATATGTATTCAGAGTTTGGGGAAGTGGGAAATGCATATGATATGTTTGATAGAATGTCTAAGAGAGATGTGGTGTCCTGGACTTCTATGATTGATGGCCTTGTTGACAATGATCGGCCTGCTGAAGCAATAAAGAAGTTTGAAGAAATGTTGGAAAGTGGGATTGAGGTGAATGATGCTACGGTTGTATCTGTTTTAAGAGCATGTTCTGAAATGGGAGCGTTAAGTGTGGGGAAGACAGTGCATAAAATTGTGAAGGAGAGGAAGCTTCATTATAAGGGTAATGTTATGACAGCGCTCCTCGATATGTACGCCAAATGCGGTTGTATAGAAAGTGCATGGCAGGTTTTTAATGGTGATGTCATGGACAGAGACGTTTTTGTTTGGACGGCAATGATTTCTGGCCTGGCTAGCCATGGAAAATGCAAGGAAGCTATTGACCTGTTTTATGAAATGGAAGCTTCAAAAATAAAACCTGATGAAAAGACAATGACCGCAGTTTTATCAGCATGTAGGAATGCGGGCTCGATTCCTCAATGTTACAAATTTTTTAGTAGCATACAAAAAAGATACGGTATAAGACCAACTATTCAGCACTACGGTTGCATTGTAGACCTCCTAGCCAGAGTAGGTCGTTTAAAAGAAGCCGAAGAGTTTATTAATAAAATGCCGATCAAACCTGATGCAATACTTTGGAGAACCCTGATATGGGCTTGTAATATTCATGGGGATACTACTAGAATTAAGCGTTTGATGAAACACCTTGGGTTACAAGAGATGGATGCAGATGATAGTGGAAGCTTCATACTTGCTAGTAATGTTTATGCATCAGAGGGAAAGTGGTGTAAAAAGGCGAAAACGAGGGAGTTGATGAAACAGAAAGGACTAGTAAAGCCAGCAGGATGTAGCAGGATTGAAGTTGAAGGTGTGATACATGAATTTCTGATGGGAGATTATAATCACTCTGAAGCAAAGAACATATATGTCAAATTAAATGACATGGTAGATAAATTGAGAAAAGAAGGGTATTATCCAAAAGTTTCTGAAGTCTTGCTTGAAGGAGATGATCAGGAAAAAGCCAATCAGCTGCTTCACCACAGTGAGAAACTTGCTCTTGCTTTTGGATTAATCAGAACAAGTCCGGGGTCTGAAATCCGAATCGTGAAAAATCTAAGGTCTTGTGATGACTGTCATGAATTTATGAAACTAGTCTCTAGGGTATACCAAAGAGATATCATAGTAAGAGACAGAATACGTTTTCATCATTTCAAAAATGGTGACTGCTCTTGCAAGAATTACTGGTAGCATTAAGATTGTTGTTAGATATTGGCAATTGATGTGCAATGAGATATTCAGAAGCATACAAGACACGGGAACTGCTAGTTTTGAGGCATAATTTGTCAATTGAAAAATGTATATATTTGAAATGTTCACTGGAATGCTGACTTAAAAGGAGAAACTCCTTTTCATTCTTTTACCTATCTTGCTTATTACTTTCTTTAGTGGGGAAAAAAGTCGTTGAACTATTTATTATTCCTGAGACTTGCTATTTATATGACTAATCTAAGAAGTCAGAAGAACAAGGATATAAGAAATGTGGCTTTATGGTGGAGAAATTATCTGGGAGTGCATTAAAATCTGCCACCTTTTCTGAACTGCAAATTAAAACATGCAACAGAATGAGACTGATAAGATTATTGCAAGGATGAATGGTGCAAGCATACCGAGATAAGGTTTGATCTTATTATTGTTATTGTTGTTGAACGGTGCAACCAGAACGCCCAAAGACTCTCTTTTGAAGTTGATACCCTTAACAATTTCTTGTGAGTCACCCTGCTTATGATTATACAGTTGGTATCCACTCTTTTTACTACTTTATGATGATAACTTGGGAAACCTATCGGAGATTTGCTCTTAAATTCTTCAAAAGCAAGGTGCATGTTCTGACAGAAATTTCCTACGTCAGAATTCTATGCTGTTTGCCTTAGTTTTGATGAAAAGTGACGTGGTTGATCATGTCTCTCATGTTTTTGGTTGGTTAGTAAACTAATCTGGACTGTGCTGTGCCTCTCATGCATTTTTGGAAACACTAATATGAATAGTCAAGGTTTGTAATGAATAATTAGTGATTGCAGTGATCAATGTGATTTTTTTACCGGCGTAACTGCAATTGGATAGAGAAATACTAATTGTTTTGTTTCTAGAATGACTTGTATGGGGAAATGAACTTGTTCCCATAACAGCAAGTCGTATGGGCTTTGTCAGTCTAAAGTACTCTTATTGGGCTCTGTGGGAGGGGAGGCCTGTCCATGAGTTGTTAAGTTTTCTTTTTTTGGACCGAAAGGAGATTTGTTAAGGTTGTATTGTGTTTGACCCAAAAAAATGGTTATTTGTAGCCCAAAAAAAGGCTATTTTGTGTTCAATAATACTTTATTTTGAATAGTTAGGGTTTTAATTAAAATATACAGATTATCTTTTATCATTTGAATAAGTGTGGATAAGACTTCACCCATCCTATTTCTTATCCTATCCATCCAGGATTAGTGTGGATTATTATATCTTAAATAGTCCTCCTTATCATTCTATAAATAGTCTTAGTGTTTCTTCATTTGTAAGATCCTTTAACAAATTAGACAATAAAGTGTTTTGAAGTCACTCTCTTTCAAGTTTTTCCACTCCCCTAGGTTTCTATTATCTCTAAATTGTTATTTTATGTGTCCTTCCCTCTTTCATCTTTATGATTTCTAAGGTTAGTGTTTATATGGGCCCAAAATAATAATAAATTAGTACTAAAGTTGATGGTTACCAGTTTGAATTTTTCTGCATAAATCTAGATGGTTAAAGAAATTGAACATTGTTTCTAGACTACCATCACCCCCTTTCCTCATAAAATTGCGAAAATTGCGGTTGTTTAGCAGCCAGGTTGGTTTTCTAAAATATCATGCCTGACAGTTTTTTTGGGTAAGAAAATTGTTAAGGACCCGAATTATAATTAATTAATTAATTAGCTAAAAAATTAGATATTAAATGGAAAAGATCATTCTATGAGACACAAAAATATAGAATTTAACCACAAGGAAAAAAAAAGAATAATTCATTTGAATAGGCCCCATATAATCCTCTTCATTTTATCACTGACCAGATGTGTGTAAAATAAATTTTACATAAAGTTATGCAATGCATGTTTTATAATACTTTCTCCAATCCTTAATATAAAACTTTATTTAACTTTTAGTTTGGTCTTAATTATAAGAATCCAATCCATTTTGTCTCTCATATTTATTTTTTTTTTGTCAAGGTAGTCCTTCTAATAATGGTCGTTCTAGCCAATAAACTTGATTAGCAATGATATTTTAGGAAAGACAACACCTATTACTTAACTTATTTTATTAATTTCCTCAAATTAGTTAACTAGCTCTTATAATTAGAACCAGAGGTAGTAATAAATTATGTCCATTTGCCCTTATTAATTAAAAGCCAAGGTGCATCAAGTCCCCAAACGTGCACCTCCCATTAGTTCACTCTCCCATTTTGAGTAGTGATTATATTTTATTTGACTACATTCACTAATGACCAACCCACCCACAACCTTTTATTTCTCTTTTAATATTTATCTCAACCCCTCTTCCATTCTTTTTTAAATAGTAATAATGATGATGATAATAAAATTCTAGATCAGTCTAGCACTAGCCTAATTGTGATCATTATAAGCTTATTCAATTAGATGCAAGCACAAACAAATAATTAAATGCCCAAAGTGACTGAACCATTGAAGAGCATGGGGGGTCACGTTGTGGCCTGCTTTCCGGTTAGAAAAATGTGGAAACTCAGCTTTTTATAACATGCAATCAAATCCCAAAACAAGACATCATGGGAGATTTCATCATCCTTGTCCCTCCTTCCTTTTCACATGTTAGCCCTAATTCATAATTTTTTTAGGTATATGTACCATACTTAGCTTTTTTTTTTTCTTGGCCCCTTGCCCTTTCTTCTTTCTTGTTTCTTAAGTAAAATAATTATTCTCAGGTCCACAATATTTGCCATATTATATATTAACCACACTAATAACAATGTATCAATTTTCTGGCAAGAAAAAACAATGTATCAGTATAAAATATAAAATTTATAACAAATCGCATTACATATAGGTCATAAATAGTATAACTTATTTTACAAGTTTTTTAACTTAAACAGACCACTCAATCAATCATTAAAAATTTATTGAAATTATATATGCATTTTTTATTTTTTACAATCTATTACATAATTTATTAATTTTTCAATATTTACGCAATTTCAGCTTAAAAGATCTTATAATTTTATCTAAATATTGTTTTAAATTTTCACATCCTTTCCATGTTTAGGGAATATTTTTTAAAAAAAAAACAGAGATTTATATAATTTATTTTTTAAAAAAAATAATATACGTTCTAAAAAGTAAAAACAAGGAGGAGATCATTATGAATTTAACCATATTCAAGATAATTTTATATTGATTTTTAAAAAGAAAGGATTGTTTGTCTAGTTGCAGTAAAATCTAGGGCAGGTATATGTAGTTTATTCAAAACAAAATATTATATCTTGAAACGGAACTTGGAGATAACTTCTATAATAAAGTAAAATATCACAAATGGTAAACAAGAAGTCTCAACTTCTTAAATTTCCACCATCTCTTCTCTCTCTCTCTCTTTTTAAATACAAATTTTACCTTCTTTTCACAGATCAACAAAATTAATTGATATCTTAAATTATCTTCTCTTGTTGATAAAAATTTAAAGCCGCCCCATCTTCCTATAAATATTATTCTTTAAATAATCTTCTCTCTCACACACCTTCTCTCAATTAGTTAAAAACAATATATTTTTAAAAGAAATTTTTATTAAAAAATAAATATATCAATTATTGTCTAAATTTTACCGAAAACCTTACAAATTCAATTTTCAAAATTTTCTAAGAATTATTGTCTAAGTACTAATTAGAATCAGAAGTAATATATCAAAAACATGATGGAGATGTACATTATACATGGAGATAACCCATTGGCTGCAATCCTTTTCTAAGGAAAACAAATAATCAGTACCAATAATTTGTATCCAACAGTTACATTCTACGTCTATCTTTTCTAGAAGACAACTATTAAACTATTCAACAGAAACTAAACAAACAGACAAAATAAGATCAAGGGCCATCTTTTTTCCTCCATCTCTGTCCCTTCAAGCATCATTTCAGATGCCGTGTTTCTGGACACTATTTTTATTCTTTATATATAAATATATATTAATTACCTCTCTTTATTTAAATAGTGGCCATTAGCAAGAAGGAATATGAGCTTATTGATTTTAGAGTGGAAAAAAGAATAGGAATAAAGGTAAATTCTGTATGAAAGTGACCAAATTGATATTAAAGAGAATATAATTTAAATAAAGAGAAATTGCAGAATCAGAAGTGATGGCTGAAGTTGAATTTGAGTGTGAAAAAAAAATTTTGAGAATGTAGATGGTTCAAACAATAATTCCAAATCTAATATCTGCTTTTTGGAAACTTTTTTGTGGCAAAAAAAAATGATTCCCTTATAATTTGGTGGCAACCCTCCATTTGATATCCAGTAATATTGTGCCAATTTAGTGAATATTTATCAATCAATCAGTATCTTTGGTGGGTCCCTTTGTTCTAACACGAGCTTCTTACTTTGCAACTTTGTAGAGAGATTATGGCATTATAGTACTGTAATAAATCAACTACCCAGAGATTTCCACATTATTGGAACAAAATTATCCATCACGTCATTTCCATTTAAACTAATCTACACTTTATTGGAAATAATTGGAATTGACTGTACCATGTTTCTTTTCGCATTAATGGGGGCTAGCTGTTTTACTTGTGATTAAGATTTAACATCAAATATTTATTAATAAGGTTTAGAGTTGTCATTAACAACCAAGGTGTAAAAAACAAAAAAATAGCACTCCTCCGATCCTAAATATAAAATTTTTATAAAAGTCTTATATTTATGAACGGAGCAGTACTACTTATGTAACCAAGAAAAATATTGCTACTTAATTAATGTCTTGATTGGAATTCTAATATTCTATTTTCAACTTAAATACATGCCATATTTCAAATTTTAAGATGTAATTATTATTTGTTTTTAATAATATTCTTGTCAAATAGATAGCACTGAATGGAGGAGGTTAATATTTAAAATAGGACCATATTTACGTTAAGTTTTTTATGTTTATTATGTCAAGTTTTCTTATCAACATAGTAATGTGTTCTATTTCTAAAATATTATTATTTAATTATAAATTCACATAAAAAAAGATATAACACTTGGCTATATGTGATTGGAGAATTTGACCTAATAATACTATCTCCGATCCTTAAGATAAGAGTTTATTTGACTTTTATTTTAGTTCTAAATATAAGATGCCAATC